GAACACCTTACTCTGGAAGGTAGCAGAAGGTGATCAAATCTTTGTCATGTGCAACCTGAAATCCACACCTTGTGCGAACAAGGGTGACCAAGAAAAGGTTCCTGAACCGCCTTCTGATACAGGCTTGTTTGCCTGCAGACTGGTTTCTTTTCCACACTCTGTATTCCAAGTTAAACTGTGAGTTTGAAGTCGGATTTTAAGGTGTATCATTTAGAAAGCAGAAACACCTAAAACCTGTCTGTTCCTGTCTGATCATGCTGAATGAAGTCCTTAAGGAACCATATAGAAAAGCCCATACCTTCCAAGCCTGGATCATTTAGGAGGAATCAGACACTGACTGGAAGAATATGTTTGGTGGGGCTCTTATTCCCAAATACTTTGATTCAGAGAAAAATGTTACGACAGAGAGGTATTTGGCCCAGTGACCAGCACTGTGATGAGATTAGAAGGTTAATGGTCTTTGAGGCTATAAGATAAGCAATCTCTTTAGTTCTGCTAGAAGGAACCTTCTTCCCCAACAACAAAGTGGTGGCACCGGTGTGCCTGTGGTGGCAATAGGCAGAATGCTTCCTGTTTCCCATGGTCTAAATAGGATACACAGAGGAGCCCAGGAAGTCTTGCTTGCCCTTATTGGGGGACTCCAGACATGATTACAGTTGGAACCTAGAAGTTACTACAGACTCAGGTGTTAAATCTCTAAGAAAAACTTCTCAGTCCTGCACTATGCTGGTGGATACTATAAGGGACTTGAATCCTAATAGTCATCACATCAGGGTATAGACTAGACTGGCTCCCCTCCATCTAGACCCAGCGAGAATCCTCTTAATACTGCTTAGGTCTGAAGAACCTTCCCACTCTGTCACAACAAGATAACATAAATCATGTCCAGGTATAAGCTTGGAAACAAACAGGAGAAGGGAACATCTAGAAATTTTCTTGAAAGAATTGCACAGTACATACAGAAAATGAGATTAATCATAGCAAAACAGAATAGATGCATTCCTTTGCATATGTGTATGCTAAGGATGAACACTTGTGCCATCTCAGTGCATCTCTGAGACTTCAGTGTAATGTGACATGTAAAGGCTCTCCTTGGACTTCAGAGATTCTGGATGCACTGAGAAGTGATGGCAGACATTCGGGTAAAAATTAACCTGCCCAACTCAAAGTCACAGCTAAGGAAAACAGGCTATTTACAGGTTTATAGGGATGGACCAGAGGAGATTAAAGAGCGGGGTTAAGAACACTCATATCTAATGTATCTTATCTGTAAGGTAAGGGAAAAGGAGATACTGTTTTTAGAGACAGGAGCATAATATTATCCACATCAGTTCCAATCTGGGACACATATGGAGATGGTATATTTGGAAAAAAAAGATTAGACTTCAATATTCAACCCGAAAGAAATATATATATAGCTAATGTGTCATAGATTAATCCTTGGCTGAGGAATCCAAAGAACAAGAAAATGAATCCATGCCACCCCAGTAAGAGCAAGCAATGTTAACATCCATCCTTCTATTACAACAAACAGCTGAGGTTAAAATGTACACTTCCTGGAGTGAAGCTTTGATCAGAGATTGGGTTTTTAATCACTAATCCATTCTTCTTGCTGCCTTCCAGTAAAGCTAGTTGCTCATTTTCACTTCAGTAGCCAATGCCCAATAGAAGTCCATCTCATCTCAAGGTTAGAATTGCCTATCCACAATTTCAGCTCCTGGGGGCTGGGGAGTGTGGCAGTCATGGGTCAGTGTAGGGAAGTGGCTGTGCCTTCTTGGAGATCAAATAGTGACTTAAGATTAAAGCTCCAATCAGGAGTGAGTTATTCTAGCCAAACTGGAAGGGTTAGAGTGGGTAGCAACGGACCACAGACAAAGAACATGGTATCCGAAATGGATGAGCAGGACACAAAGAAAAAGACTGTCAAATCTTGCCAAGACAGGGTAAGATGGTTTTAAAATTTTTCCTGCCTCTGAACATGGCCTGTCAGTTGCACTAGGCCTTAGCCAAAGTTGGTTGCTTCAACGTTACAAATGAGACTTTGGGTGATTGCTCAGGTAGCTAATTGTCTCTGTCATATTCTGCTCGCTTTGGAAGCTGCTTAATTGCACTTCCTGTCTACTCAAGTAATATTATCTCCCTTCTCAGGCCTTCGATGGGGTTGAAGACTAGATAGTTGTAGTTACCTTCCTCTTAAGATTTAGCCAATCTTATTCCCAATGTAAGATTTGGACTTTTTAAAATAGAATGTTAATTAAAACATTTGTCATGTGTTCCTTGCTTATGTTGTTTGATATCTGTTCCTATTGCATATAGTTTTGTATCAGGTTTGGATCACTCTTGTTTAGACAAAAGGAGGAGATGATGGGGAAAATCTTGTTATCCAATTTTTTTTAAAAGGTGGATCTCAGGTAAGGCATGGCTTTCTGGGACCTGAGGAAAAACCTGTGCCCCGCCCAGGTGCTCTCTCTCTCTCTGAGCCATTCCCACGGGACACTGCTGTGCTTGGATTTCTCGTTTCCTGTTTCTTGAGTTTTCCCCTTATAATAAATAAAAATATAATTGTTGTAGCCTTTAGCTACCCTGGTTATTTCAACACAAGATGATCAAAATCTTCAGGGAAAGAAGAACAAGGCCTAATGATGAGCACACTTGCTTTGCATAAATGCAGAGGTTTGCTTACAGGGGCTGTTTTGAGAATCTTACCAATAAGCTTCCAATCACGCTTCCTGTTCTCACTCCAGCCATTGCTGAGAAGGAAGCACTAGGGACACCGAGGAAGAGGAAAGTTAGTGACTGTAGGAAGAATCTCTGGAAGAGAAGAGGGGCCATGAGGAGAAACAGCTGCTTCTTTTAACCTGGGGCGATTTTGAGGAAAAAAATAATAGAACAGAAGAATAAAGTGAGGTAAGTAGCCATGAAGGATTTTCATCCTCTATAATCGTTAGGAGCCAAACAGACTGTTGGTACTGTCTGATAAACTTCTAAACAGATCTGCGGGTAGATGACAAGCCGGCATCTACTCAGATATTGGACTGTGCGACCTTAGAAGTGTGAGGCTATACAACTTCAGAAGAAACGCTTCTGCGTGATATCTAACACGTTACAAGAATAGCAGAGCTGAGGTGGCAGGGGTAGTGGTTTGATTTACGACCCTGAGAAAGAATTCATGACTTTCAATGCAAGTCAGGAAAGTCAGACCCTCACTGTATAGGGAGGTGGAATGAGAGAGTGCTGGTAGAGCTAGGAGTGGTAAGGCTGGGATGAAGAGTCCTGTGTTAAATTACAGCCTGGAGACAAAGGTCAGGGTCTGAGACTATAACAACAGATGTCAGGAGGAAGGCAGGGTAGGACAATAGCAACACACAGTAAGGAACATCCCCAGCAAACTGCATTTCAACAGGGCTCAACTAGGGCCATTCTGAATTTGTGTGAACCTGAGATATCCCTCTTTAAGGGCAAAATATGGTTCTCAACACATTTCTTCCTGATAGACTAGGTTATGTTAGACCAGCGAAAGGGGAAGAGGAAATATTCTCAAGACTTCGAGTTGGTACTTAGAAGAATTACTGAGTTCTCACACTAGACTCAGTTTACGGGGTTATACCAAATACACACACATTCTCTCTCTCTCACATACACACTCATACACTCCCATATTCTTTCTCTTTCTCTCTCTCTCTCTCTCTCTCTCTCTCTCTCTCTCTCTCACACACACACACACACACACACACACACACACACACACGTCCCTTCTCTGAGATACAGCTGGTTTGAGTGGAAGAGCAGATAAGCTGCAAAGCCATTTTAATTGTCTCCTTTAGAAAACTGTATCTAAGTGCAACGGAGTAAGATATTTTAAAAGCTGGCATGTTATACACTAAATTAATAAGGAAATAGTGTCCAAAAAACCAATTAACAAGAAAACTCTTTTATTGATATAAAAGCAAAACAAATTTTTCATTAATTCTAGTACCTGTTTTATTCTATCTATTGGATATACTCAAGTTCAAAAATCACTTTTTCTGTGGGTGCTGTCTCTGTTGTTAGCCTCTCTATCACAGCAGTCCTGTGAGACCATGCATCTCGGCGAAATATCCTGCCTCAAATAGATAAAACACCTTGAGTGGTTTATTGTCCCCAATTAAAGCTAAGTCCATTTTCCTTTTCTCCGCTAAGCATTCCTACATGGCACCAATGGTGCCATTGGGTTGGTGGTAATGACAAACATTGATGCCAAGCCGTAATATCTGCTTCTCAAATGTTACCAAATAAGGGAAACAAACCAGAATCAGATTTATATTCATCCCAGTGAGGAAGTATCTTCTTGTGTAGAGGGGGCAATTTGTTCTGACATGAACTGTAACATCTGCAAGCCACAACCTCTGCCTTCAAACACGAACAAGTGGCTTTTCACATTCGAAGCCTAGAATCACCAGGGAGTAGGTTTTAGAAGCCACATTAAAGTTTCTGGTTTTAATTTATTCCGTAACTCTTGGATAATATCCATTAGTAATGTCTCAGCCATTATTCACAGAAAAGCACATAACGCTTATGCCTAGGCATTGAAAAAGGAAGTTTTAGTCATTATCTAGTCAGTTCAATGGGTACAGATAAAAAGGGAGTAAAAGTAAATGCCAAAGTAACGTTTAAAGCTAAGTTGTCCATATTTTCAAAACAGTTTCAAATTAAACAAATAAGAGTTATATATTCATTTTACCTATAATAAGCAGATATATGTTGTGTTTTATACAACATATATGTTGAAAAAGCAAAAAATTCAAATTGCAATTTATGATTGTGGTCTAGATGGCTCCAAAGCTCTTTTAGATAGACCTTTTTATTCCACCTAGATAGCTGGACCACATTGATATGGTCCTAACTTCATTATCGTTGCTACATTTGAGTCACTAATATAGGAAAGGAAGCTTATCTAATTACCAACTTTCCAAGCTGAGGAAGACGCTTCCCTTCCATTAAATAAAGAGAAAGTCATTTTGATTTGACCCCAAAGAAACAAGTACATGCATTTACCTGACTTCTCAGATCCTCTCTGGATCAGACGATGGAACAACTATTTGGTTTCGATCTCATACTTATAATGACAGAAAAGAGAATACAAAAGTCCATTGTAAATTTGTACAAAATGTATGCATATATAAATACATATCTATGGGTGTATATAAATTCTACAGATTATATCCATCTACATCTTCAAGAGTCAGAGTCCCATACAATTGACACATTGGCATTATCTCCCTTATTTTCTCATTTTTTTTTGAACAGTAAGAATCAAGCATGCTACCTTATTAATACTGAATAGCAAGTGCAGGAGTTGAGCTGTAGCTATAGAGGGTTGAAGCAATTAGTTTGACTGGACATCAGTAAATAAAATCCTTAGAGTAAATTTAGCTATTTCCATATTGCCGTTTGTCTCATAAAAATGAAGTCTTGAATGTCATATGGGCCAGCTGAGTTCATTAAGTAGCAATCTAAACAGAGTCTATAGAAATTTGCATTGTTATATGCTTATTGCAATAATTTGGTGTGGGATCTGGTCTACTAGAATCACATGTAATTCTCATTCTAGCTCACAGAAATCTTGTGACCTCACCAGGTTCACAGCATATTAAACTCAGTATGAAATGTAATTAGCAAGCTGCATCATCTTTACACAGGACACTATCAAAATATTAAACCCTAGTCAATTGATGGGGAAAGGCATAAACACTTAAAGATGCACAATAAATAGCACATTACAGATGTGTGCTTATGGTTAGAGGTATCAAGACTTTTTTAAAATACACATAATTAGCTTATTTCTTGCTCCCCCTATTTCTTTTGGAAAAGTATATAGGACATTGCCCCCTAGGGTGTACAGGCTGCTTCTTGGAAGGGGATTATTATTGCATGCCTTGAATGCACTGTGATTCATAAGGCAGGAACACATGAGTCGCTTCAGCACCAAGGAAGTGGAATCAGCATCTAGCACTACTCAAAACAGAATATCTTATTGCTTTAATAAAATGGGAAATTATTTACTGTAAAATAAACAGTGCACCAAATAATGGGAAGAAAGTAAGATCTGTGCACTTAAGTGGAGCTCATTGAAATGAGAACGTTCCTTCTTTCTGGGTTCCTGATTCTATTTGGATTTCACATTCAAGACCCATTCTGTAAGAAGGTGTTAAGAGCTATGGTTGGATTAGGGCAAGTTAAAGAGATTAATGGACATTCTCTTTCACAGTGCCTTAGTCTGATGTCCAATGTAGAGCTCACTGTAGCTAATATAGAGTTCCACTGACGGGCTCCTTGGTCGTCTGAGGGAGTGAATGCACTCTGACCTGTTACTAGGAAGTGACTAAGGCACCGGAGAGAATCTTGTTTAATATATTGTATCCAAAGATTAGACCTGGTCTTCCTAATGGTACAATGTGGCATGCTTAAATAATGGCCTGTGCTTCAGAAAAGGACTTGGATGTTATCTGATAGGTGACTAAAATCAACCTTAATAACTTATCTTATAAAGATACAGACTGAGCTTGGGAAAGTTTATAATAACCAAAAACATTAGAGGCCATAGTTTCTCTGGATAATAAGCACATACAACTTGAAACAAGACAGAGAACTGAGGGCAACTAGTGGCTCAGGAGACGGATATGTGTAGGGTACCCCTGCCAAACACCCAACAGCAGAGTCTAGCATAGATGTATTTATCCTGATGTTTGAAAAGAAGACAAAAGAATTATCTTCTCTCTCACTTTATTTTTTCCTCAATATTCTCTATTTGTTCTGGGAGGCCAATTAAGCCAGACTTAGAAAAGAAGAAAGATCCTCCTCCGTTGCTGTTTTTCAGATGCAGGCACAGAATTGTAACTAGACAAGCTGTAGACATTTTTTTTTATCCTGTAAGCATTCACTGATTTAACTTGGAAATTTGAATGTCCTGTCATCCGAATTGCCCAACATCTCCACCAGTCTTTCCCCCAGACACATACAGTACAAGCAAGCACACACACCACTGCCTCCAGGTGGTAGCTGCATGCAGAGAACCACAGGCACTGTTGAAATATTAACCATGATTTAATAGATGGCATTCCTGCGCACCCATTGTTTGTTTTCTGATGTGGCTGTTTCTGCTATTCACAAAAGAAAAAGGGAAACGTGGGTGTCATCTTTTTTATAATAGTCTACTACAGAGTAAAATACAAAAGAACACTTCCGGAAACAGAAGCCAGGCCTGCACCACTGACTTCCTTAGCCAGTGGCAACCATTATATCAACAGCTGGAAAGTTAGAACAAGAATATACAGATCGGAGGACATATCACAGAACTATAGTTTTCTTCTGTATTTGGTACCAATATAATAAGTATATAACAAAGGTGCACTTGTTCTAAAAATAAAACAGAAACATATCGGTTGGTTAGATACTGCATTTCCAGAACGGCACATTACCTAATACTTTTTTTTTTTACATAAAGGTAACTTATGCATTGTTCAATAATAAGCAAAACAATAGTACATACTAATCCAATTGTAGAAAAAGAAGAAAGAAACCAATCGAAACCAAGACAATCACTTTCCAAAATAGCTCCTTCTTTGGCCTGCACAACCAGAGGAAGTAATCAGGAAGGCGAGACATATTCAGCACCAGACATAGCTGGACAGCTCCCGATGTCTCTGAGGCTAAAACAAAACAAAAACAGAAAGCTGCCGCCAGTCAAGTGTGCAAGTGGGGAGGACGGAGGAGGATGGAAGGGGCAAAAGCGGATACTGTGGGTTTTGCTTTTTTCCGCTCGGCCAGCGAGAGATATTTCTAAAAGTAAACTCAAAAACTGCCCAGGGAAACCAAAAAGTGAAGAGATGATTGACTAGAAAGGGGTTACCTGTCCTAAACGTTTTTCTGGGACATTCTCTGTGGTCTCTGGTGCTTAATGTAGATGTCTCCTCTATATATACTAACGCCTGAGCCCAGCTAAAAGTGAGGGAAAGGGAGGGGAGAGAAGCTAAAGGAAATGTGAAAGAAGGCCATGGGGAGGGGCAGAAAGGCGACTAAACCTTCACTTGACAGCTATATACAACATCACCGGCCCCCTCCCCTCCTGTGTTAACACCTTTTATATATTTGGTAGCTTGTGCGGTTTCTCCTCCTTACTGAGGGGGACACGGGGTGGAAAGGGAAGATGCAGCCATCATTAACAATGAGAAGTTATGTGATTTGTCATGCTTTGGACTGTGTTAATAATAGTGTAATAATTACTATAAATATCAATAAAGTATTATCAGCGTTATTTCTTCCTCTGAGACTTTCCTTGCCCAATATTTACAAATACCGCACAGTGCCTCGGCGGAGGAGAAACAGTAAAAGGGTGGGCAGGTAAGGAAAGAGGGCAGAGGAAAAAGGGGTCAGAGGAGAATGGAAAAGGAAAAAAGGAGGACCGAAAGCGAGGATGGCAAAGATGCTGGAAACGAGGAAGGGGTAAGGAGAGGGCTAGACAATCAGGACAGTACCACCGTTTGCAAAAGGCCCTCGCCAGCTGTGTCCAAGCAGGAGGAAGCTGCGTGTGCTCCGTGTGGACTGGGGGCTGGCAGTGGAGGCGGAGGAGCACAGGGACCCTGGCACAGGAGACCAGGGGTTGAAGAGGAGGAAGAGGTGGCATTGGAGGGAGTGCCAAAGGCGGAGTCCCGGGGCTGTCTCTCCAGCCGGGTTTCTTTTCCATGGATCGGAGCTTGAACACCTGCCCGGGGCAGCCCACCACCACCGTGGCTGCCGCTGCAATGATCCCTCTCGTATTCCTCCTGAGCCCTCTGCATCTTCCGCTTCTTCATCCTACGCTTGTGGATGTGGAAAGTGGAGAGGGACAGCACGATGAGGCAGAAGATGAGAGTGACCAGGACAATCAGCACCAGCGTGGACGAGAAAGACTGGAAGAGCTGCTGTCCCACCTGCGTGATGCAGGTGCCACCACCTGCGCCTGAGCTGCGGACACCTGCGTTGCTGCCTCCACTAGCGTTGTGGGAAGCAAAGGTCCGATTGAGGAGACAAGGCGGCAGTGCCAGCCTCAGCTCTTTCGGCGCCCTGGCACTCATCGGCGCTGGGCTGAGAGGGGACAGACCCACCAGGCTTCCTCTGTTGTACACACGGTTCCCACCAGCCAAGACGAGGACAAAAGCCCACGCCACCCCAACTGCTCCCTGGCGCTGGAGGGACTGAGGGAGCGACTGCCAGCAGGCAAGCTGGCCAGAGCTAGTGGCCCCAGGGAGATTGTCTCCGGTCCTCCTTGATCTTGTCTCCAAGCGCCCAGTTTCCTTTCCCCAGGCACCGTGCTGCAAAGAAAACAGGATTAGTTAGGGTCCCGGCCACCGCCAAGGCAAGTGTGGAGAACGAGAGGGATCTGCCACCACTGCCAAGCGACCTTCAGTTGGATGCTGTCATCTCCACAACCCACCGACCCAATCCTACCGCTCCTAGCGGCGCAGGAGAGCGGCTGCCAGCTGCTCCGCTGGCTCAGATGGGGTCTGGTGTCCGCACCGCACCGCACCACGGAGACACTGGTTACTCAGCAGAGAAGGTAGCCGCCCTGCCCCCTGCACAACTTTCTAATTGTCACCAACAGTGGCCGCCAAGACTGGCTTTCTCTATCTACTTCCCAGAAACCCAACTGTCCTCCTCTCTGAGCACCATGGACCTCTTCTCAAGATCTACTCTCGCCAGCATTTGCTCCGAGCAGGCTCCCTGTACGCAAGCTTCCTTTCCCATCCAGACACTTCTACCCTGGACCTTCAGATCCCCAAGGTCCTAGTCCCAGGGGATACATCCCACTGCCTCTGTCCCTGGCCACAGCTGACACGCTGGATCTGGCACACAGGATCATGCTCGACCTTTCTCCAGCCTTCTTTCCTGCTACCTTCCTCCCCATCAAAAACAGCTAAAGCACCCTTCTCAAAGGAGGCATACCCTCGCAAACGCCCCCTCCTCCCATCTCCCTGAGCCTCCCACTTGACAGCGTCTTGTATCCTTTTTCTTTCTCCCAGAGCAGGAACTGGAAGGGGAAGGGTTCCCGCCTGCAAAGTTTGGGGAACCGACCTTGTCTCCAGCCTTCTCAGGGCCCTGACCTAAGGGCCCGGAGGCTGTGGTAGAGGACCAAGTCAGGAGGACCCGCAGCGGGCAGCACAGCTCCCTCGCCTCTCCCAAAAGGCAGGTGCAAACTGTTGCACTGCGGAGCAGCAAGGCAAAGCGCTAGCCTCCGCTGGGGCAGGGGCGGGGGCCGAAGCTCTGACCAGAGGTGCCTGCGCAGGCCGCGGGAGTGGTCTTACCCGCCCACATCCTGCCGCTGGGCTCCCTAATCATGGAAACCTTCAGCCGGACCATTGTCTCTTACCTGGAATGGCCAACCGGCTGCAGAGAAGGAGCCCCCGCCTCGGCTGCAGTGACGGCTGCGGAAGGCGCGGAGCGCAGGGGACCAGAGACAGAGCCGCGCCGCTGCTGCTGCTGCTGCCGCCGCCGCCGCCGCTGCCTTCGCCGCTGCTACAGGGAGCTCAGCTCTTAGCCTATTGCCAGAGAGGCCGGTGACGTCAGGCAGCCACCGCCAGGGCTCCAAGCCACCCCTCAGGCCCCCACCCACCCTCATACCCAACACCTTGTCCTGGCATAACAACCTTGCCAACACCATTCCCAGTTCCCTGCTGTTCCCCAGCTTTGGGGCTGGGAGGCGCAAGCCCACCCCACCCTCACCCCCACCTCCACCCTCCCAGCAACCCACCTTCAGCACTAGCACTCCTTAGTCTGGGAAGAAGCAAGCTTTGCTTCTTCCATTGCTCTGAGCTTCATCTTCCACTGGTCTCCAGGTACATTTTGCCTCAGGAGAACCTTGTCCCCTGGGGGCACACTTTCTTCCTGTTGACTGATCAGAGTTCTTGCTACTCCCAAATGCTTTTTTTTTTTTTTCGGCCTCTGATCCTAAGCAATAAACTGCCTGTACTAGAGAGATGACAAGGACATTTGTCAACACAACTGTGGCAGAATCCGAAGCGGGGGACCTAAATGTGCATCCGAGACCCCGTTGTCTCCACCAGTCACCAAAGTATGTCATTCCATTTGCTTTTTGATATCTTCCTCACAGTCCATCTCCGGGCCCAGGCTTCATTCGGTGTATTGAACACCCCCTCTCTTTTGAGGATCTCACCTTGTGAACACACAAAGCAAGCATGTGCTTAGGAGGCCGAAAGGGGAAGTTAGAAAGAGGAAGGTAGAAAACGTAGGACCTGTAAACGTTCTCAGCATTGTGTGTGCTGCTTGACAAGTCTTCCTTCACTGACTCTAATTTTGTCAAAGTGCTTGATGCATTAGCTTTTAAAGTTAAATGCATAGATCTTCTAGAAAGACTCTCAGCAGCTTGCCAACGTCTTGTATGTAACCAGCGAATGACTAGTTTGGAATACTTGCAGAAACAGGACTAGTGTATTCTTTTATAGTAGCTATCTTCAAAACAGAGCACGCTTACTTTTTTTTCATGCACGTAATTGGAAAAGTTGTCTTGGAACGTAAACCAAAGTCTGTACGGTCTCTAAGGACAGTTGGATAACTCATTAAAATTGTTTCTTTCTTCTATCCCATCTTGTGCACCTCCTGTCTTTGAGTCTAGCAAGGTGTGCAATGTTTACTCCCTGAGTTGGGCGGTGAAGCCTGTGTTCCTCCTCTCCTCCTGCCATGAATCGGGAAGGAAGACTGATGGGAACACTAGATGCCACGTGCCCACTTGTATCAGTTGTAGTTGTGAAGTGGGGTCTGATATGAAAAGAAAAATAAGATTTCTCCTTCTGACCCTATGTTACCATCTAGCCCCCTCCAAATCCTCACTTTCCTCTTTCTGCTCACGCCATCAATGAACGATACATCATATCCTCCCTCCATCCCAAATCTGCTTTTCTTTCTTTGAGGACATGTCATCTGGGGCCCTGGGAGCAGCAGTGTTAAAGCATTTGTGTAACATGCAGAAGGCCCTGGGTTCTATCTACAGCACTACAGAGAGGAGGGAAGCACCGGCTCTATCTTCACAGCTCTGTCGATAAGAAGAATGCCGTAAACTATTTAAGCTAATATTGGTATATGCTTAATAAAGCCCAGCTCCTTCAGACCCCAGATTAACACCCATCCCTGCCAAAGCCACAATCCATGATGGTCTGCGACCTGGATGCTTGCATAAGCCTTCCTTCCCGGAGGGAGGGGACCTGGTGGTGCCACCTTGCTTGCTTCACTGTGACAGATGAGGCTTCCCTATGAAGACCTGGCAGACAGTGGTCTGTTTGTGCACACTCTCTTCTTGAAAAGTTGAGTCTCATCAGCATGTTGTAGAGCAAACCCATTTTTGAATACTCCAAAAAGAGACCTGGCTATTTAAAGAGGATCTTATTGGGGGGGGGGGGGGGGGAGAAAAAAAAGTTGTCTTGTTAAAAAACAAAGATCTTTTCACAGAATTAACCCTTTGTGTTCTGTTTCCTAGATTTGGGGAAGTTATTGGGTTTCTCCTAGAGGGAGACATATCTCAGCAATATCTTATAATAGGATAACGTACTGGTAATGGGACTCTTCTTACATGACCTGATTCCAGATAATGTGATGTGTGATGGGTTTGCCGCTGTTCTTACTTTTTTGTTACAGTGAAGACAATCAGTTACACTAAGAGTACTCAAGGAGTCTGTGCCATTTCATGCAACCTGTGGAAAGACAAGGTCTCACCCTAGATAACTTACATCATGTCACAGTTCACGGCGATTTGGAAGACCATACTATTGAACTGCAAATGATTTGGGTCTCTTTTTGGTTTGTTTTGGGGGGGGTGTTTTTATTTCATTTTTGGAGACAGGGTTTCTCTGTAGCTTTGGAGCCTATCTGAAACTTGCTCCATAGACCAGTCTGGCCTCAAACTCACAGAGATCCTCCTTTCTCTGTCTCCCAAGTGCTGGGATTAAAGGCATCCACCACCACCACGGGCCGGCTCCCTGTCTGAGGTGCTAAGGATACAAGTCATTGGCTTGCCTAGCGTGCTCAAAGTTTTGGATTTGATCCCAGTACTGATTAAAATTGGGTGTGCTCGTATAAGCCTAAAACCCTGGACTCAGGTGGTGGAGGCAGGAGGATCAGAAATTGAAGGTCACCCCTAGCCACATAAGGAAAATGAGACCAGCTACGGAAGACCTTGTCTCCAGAATAAGTGATATGAAATCATCGAGTATATACTATATAGAAGGACACTTAAGTTCAGATTTCTTTAATTATTTATTTTTATTTTATGTGTATAAGTGTTTTGTTTGTGTGTATGTCTGTGCACCACTTGCATCCCTGGCACCTGTAGAGGTCAGAGAGAGGACACTGGATCCCCTGGAACTGGAGTTATACAAATGGTTATGAGCTGCCATGTGGGTGCTGGAAATTGAACACTGGAAGGGCAACCAGTGCTCTTAACCACTGAGATATCTCTCCAGCCTTCTCAGAATGTTTTTAACATCCCTTCTTCCTTCTGTATACAACGTCTTCATTCTCCCTTTCTCCTCTGCCTGTCTGCACATATGCATCTCTATTTCTACTTTATATTACTATTTCTAACTAGTCCTCATTGGATTAAACAAAAACCACTAGAGAAAGCAGATGTGTTTGAAATCAGAGTAGGGGACATAGGAAGTCCTTGTTGTTTGGCTTCGCACCTCTATGCAGCAGTTCATAGACCTCCACAGACACCCTTGGACTAGGCAGGCTAGTGTGAAAGCCATGGCAACTGTGCTAGGTCACTTCAGTAGGTCACTATGGATTCTCACTCTATATGTATGACATGAGCCCTTTAGCTGTTAGAGAAGTTACCAGCGAATGTGCAGGTAATTCTGACCTTATGCCTATTCTTATCTCTTCTGCTCCCCGCCCTCTCAACACCTACAGAGGTATGTCTTCATGGTATTGTGTTACTGTCAAATCAACTCCTCACCCAGCCAGTAATAAATTAACCAGTTGCTAACTAAACATGGCACTGAATGAAATTCTTGTTTTTGTCTAGTCGTTTATGTCTTTTTCAATTCAATCTTCCTGTCTGCAAGCAGAAAACAGCAATGATAATAATAATATCTTCTTTGTAGGAATATTTTAAGTACCAAACACACAGCAAGCATTTTCTAAAAAAATAGTTTCTTATAAAGAAAATCACAAACATTGACATTTCATCTTGGGAAATAAAAATGTTTCATTGTTTTAGACTGCCAAATTCAAAAAATATTCATTTTGAGAGTTAGCATCCTTGTGTCAAGATGACTAGAAAAGTGAGGGGACGAAGATAATGACAGAGAATGTACGGCCATAGGCCTGGGATATGACCCCTAGAGATGCAAAGTGGGGCAGGTACCGTATCAACAGGGATCACATACTAAACCACAGTGCAGGAAGGATGTTTCAACTCATCATCTCCATACTGTGAACACTTCCCTAAGCAAATAGTAGGTTATCATTTGGTATCAAGAGTCTTCAAAGTGGATAAATACATACTTACAGATATACTTAAAACACATCCAGGAGGGTACAATGTGTTTTAAGGAAATTATTTTCCAAGTCCTTTACCCCTCTGTAAACTTTTCTCTTCAAATATATCT